ATTTTGCATCCCTCGAATGGTCGCAATCGGTGCCTGCTTTAAGTTTCTGCATCTCTGCTGCCATGGCTGCGTGTCGCTAGCGCCGGAAAATGAACACTGAGTTTCTACATTATCTAATGGCCCCTTCAATATCTCCGCTTAAATCTACTCTAAATCATGCTGTTCTGGCGCAATATTACGTTCAACAACGGCGGGTTGGCGGCATTGGTCAATAATAAAATTGTAGTTATCTGACTAAAGAAATCTGACCCAACTGGAACACACACTTTGAGATGGCCCATTATATAAACCTTCCCCCGAGTCCGCCGCGCCACATAGGATAATGTTGAAGTTCTACACCAGCGGAGCGGAATTTGCGGAATCAATTTGACGGCGGCCTGCATTCAAGTTCTTAGTTCTGCGTGCTTCTATCCTCATTTGCCTGTCACTTTCAAGTAAAGGTGTAGTCCATCCGCCTAGTACGCGCACACTTGGATTAACGACGGCTTGGGGCGGATCACACATTGATGGCAGATCAATGGCAGATTGATTGTTGGAGCGCGGTGTTCTCGATGAACCGAGTCCTATTCTTTGATCGGATTTAGTAGGACTGGGCGAGTCCCTCGCTGATACTCCTTGCTGCGCTCGGTCGGCGGAATCGCGTGCGGCCGCGACGCGGACCCCTCTTCACGCTCGTGCAGGTGATGGACATGCTCTCGCGTACGGACCTTTCCGACGGGCACCGCCAGTGTGGCCTCCGGCTGTGTCACACGTGCAAGATCGACTTCGCAAACGCCGCGACGCGTACGAGGGAGGAGGTGTGGCGGTTGCTGCCTGCGTGGTTTGGGCTGGCTGAGGAGCCGGCGCGCGTGGACGGGGTGCTCAAGGCGTAAGGCGGTGAGGGAGACGCGCTCAATATGCACTCATTTAGCTTTCATTTACTGTTGTCCATTTTATATAGGGGTATCTGGGGATAGCAATCACACTCGTTCCGCCGTTCGTAATGCTACACTCGGATGCACTGAGCGCGGTGACACTTGTCGCGCATGGAACGCAGAACGCTACGGCGGAGTTCGGTCAAGTATCATCGGGAATGGAGCAATAGGAACGTACTGATTGGGTCTCCGTAGCATCCACAAGCGATTCCGCTCGCGGCTGGACCGGGCACCTACAGCGTGCGTTAATTAATGAGTCGTTGGGCGGATGAAAAATACTGAGGCAGCGATTAGCGTCGCATGGGCGATCGCAAAATGGCAATAAGGACGGAGTGGAAATGCATGGGGTAAGGTGTTTGCGAGCGCAGCGAGCAATTCTACCCTAACACGTGACGAGGATGGGGGATAGAATATACAAAATGAAAGCAACGGTGGCTGACATTCCCTGCCAAAGAAGTGCTTCAAACTCATTCAATTTTGGGTGAATCCCTCCAAGGAAGTGAAAAATGGTAGTCCTCTTCGACAGCTTTCGATTGACACCCAAATCAGCGGGTTCGAGGAAGTTCAAAAATTCGAAAATTAAGGAGATTTATGTAAGCTGTTTTGCTTATGCTGCGCGAACACCCTTCGCATCAGCGGATACATATTATCGACTGGGGAAATCCTCGGGATATATACACGGCGAATGACAGTGATGGCCCTGGGACATAATTATGCGCTCCTTCCGACGTTCTATGTTAATATTAATCTGAGGGCAGAACTTGGCCGCGCTTTGGAGCCTTCGGTTCACCGGGTTGGGATTGTCAATGCTCTCATGTTTACATCTCGCCGAGCGATTCCTGCCCCATTCGTTTCTGTAAATGATGTTGAAACAGGGTGCTCAGCTCTCAGCCCTTGCCAAGCAGAGGAACCCATTGGAAGCTTGACAATGACATTGACGAACTGTAAATCCGCTATTACCCGACAAAAGATTTGAATGTCACCCTTTATCCGGGGCCTGGGGTTCAACAGCCGTCGCGGTCTTCTGAGGCCGAAAGGTTGAGTTTCGATTTGAAGGAACGCACGCATGTCGTCGGAAGTAATTGTTGATCTGTCTCGAGGTCTAAACATCGGAGAATCGTCTTCGATTGCATTCAATAGATACAATACATTCCTTCATCCATGCCCTACTCTACGACGAGGTCGCAGTAGTCAACGGCGCGGTCATGGTGAGCGATTGATCGTCAAGCAAGCACTAAAGCGCTTGAATATCGTTCGCAATCGAGAAAAAGATGTCATTCACCTGATAAAAATAAGGGTTCACTGTCTCACATGCGTACGGTGATTCGCAGATTGTGGGCCCCTTCCACCCGGTACCTCCGCATTGTCCGTATTCTGTTTGCGTTAAGTAAACCGTCGAACACGGCAGACCGCACCAGACTGGAGTTCAATTGATATTAGAGGCCCCGCTCGGATGGAGTGCAGTGGGCACATACTCGTCGTCGTGTAAATGTTGCCGGTCGTGATAATCGGGATGGTCTGGCAGCCCGGGCAGGAGAGCGTGTACGAGAGCGCGGGGCTCGGGGCGTCCGTTGGCTGGAATGCAGGAGGTGCGGTGAGCACATCGGTGCCACGCGCAGCTGCCCCGGTCATAGCCGCTTGGGTGATAGTGAACAGGACAAGAGACGGGCGGAGGAACATTTAGCTGTAACTGCAGAGACGGTATAAGTACGCTCCGAACCAGGCTTTATATGGACGGCAGAATAGCATCAGGCGAGGGTGTCGCGTGTCCGAATATTGGTTGAGGAACAAATGCGGAGGAACCTTGCATTCAATCAGTCCGGGCTTGAGCGGGATTCTTTGTTGGCCTTGTCAGCACTTTCTTGGCTTAAGGGCAGAGATACACAGGAGGAATGCAGATTGGTGGTGTGTATAGTGTGAAGTGAGAGGAGCCTGCAGCACGTGCCCACTACGCCAAAAGACGAAAAAGGAAACTTGCGCTGTTTGCCCGCTTGTGGACCCCTCAGTACCAATTCTGACGGCGAGGTTTCAGAAGCTCTGGGAAAAAATTATTTGAATAGCCTGACTCAGAACGAATAGCATGACATCTCTCGAAGACAACTAAGTCTCCGCGTACGTCTGTTGCACGACCACGCTTTTTCGTACAACTCTGATCACGGGCGCTTTTCCAGTGCCGCCTGTCCCACCGACGTCGATTTCCTCTCCACCGGGACCCCTTGTCCTCCTGCGCCCCACGTTAGTCCGCGACAGCGTAAAAAGTCATCGATTTACCAGAGACATTCCCAGTTCTTGTGCGCGTTTCAGAGTCGAGCTCAAGCAACGGCCCATCCCCTTCGCCGTGTGTGTGTTTTATAGTCAATGCTTTAGGAGCTTCGGGGATGAGAATACATGACCGAAGTAGAGAAAGGCAAACTTCGGTCAACAAAGCTCCATCTTGAAGATGGAGCTTTGTCATGACATTGTCAGGTGTCCCGCCCGTCGCCCTAAGCCTCCTAACCTCCGCTTATGGCCTTCTGAGCCCGAAATTTTGGCAGTGCGTCCCCGAGATCTAACCGAAGTGCTGAGCGCGAAACGGCTCTTGTATCAATAGCCGTAGATATCACTGTGATAGCGAATATACTATAGTTGGTGGAAAGATTCACCGCCGTGGCAAATTGCGAAATACAGTCCCCAGAAAGATGCATAAGCTCCAGGGAGTCGAGCTCGAGGTCCGCCGACTCCATGATGAGCTTCAAATGGTGATCACAATCGTTGAGTTTGTCCCAGAAGAAGTATCAGCCTCAATTTGCGGTATCCTGGATGTAGTCATGATTGTAACAAGACCGTGGTCCTAAACGTTGAATCGAGTCCGACTCAAATATGTGCACTATACATCCCATAGCCTAATGCTTCACGAGAGATATTTCCGAGCCCCGCGCAGCTGCATTAAAACTTAACTGCAATTGAACTTTCTTCCAAAGGCTTACATCTGCGGCGGTAACTCCGATGATCCTCCATCCTACCCCAAGTACATGTAACGCTCGCGATCGTCCTCTGTGTACTCGGTGATATCGCCGGGGTCGGGGCTCACTTCGCGGATGGCAAAGCCCGTTGCTACGATCATCATACACCCTACACCCTCGCTAATAGTAATAGATTATACCAAGAACGAGGCCTCGGACGTACGAGCGCACCGCTGCAAGCTGTTTACGGCAATCAGAAGTGCAAACAGTGAACCGGGGTTCGACAGCTCGACTTCCGGCACCCGAATGTGTCGGATCCCAAGAAACTTTCTATACGTGGACTAACCCAGGAGTTATGCTAGTCCCTAATAAATTACATCAGGAATACAGAGAAAACAGTCGCGTGTGGTGCACGGCGCACCGCTGCAATCCGTGTGTCGGAGGTTGAATATAACAGCAGCGAGCCGGGGTTCGACTCCCACACCCGAATGACGAGGCCACAATGCACATTTCTTTTTTGTTTCGCCCGTCCGCTTGAGAGGGTACGACGAGAAAGGAAAGTTTCTTTTTCGAAATATGCTAAGTAGGATTACATAGACACTCCGCTCCCGCGCAAATAACGTACCATAACTTGGTTTGAATCCGCTAACGGGCCGACCATCCGACCGTCCGAAATTCAACTTCGGTTCAACGGGACGTACGTAGAGCTGCAGACCGCCGAGTCACAGGTATTACAGCTACTGGGTATTACAGCTACTGCAGCTACACAACGCTACCTATCCAGCCGGCGTGCAATTTGCCAATTCCTGTTGCATGCCCTCTTTACCCCCAAGCATGACCGCAAGCAACATGTACAGTGATTCACTTGACTGCGAGGTTTCGATTGCCTGAATAATGGGTTTTTACTTTCCGGGAGGACTTGGGAAGGACTTCAAACGGAATCCAGGTTGCTCTGTCACAAACGGTTTACTTATAACAATGTCCAAAGAGATGCGACGCAAATTATCGTTGCCTTGGGAGATTAGAGCCAGTTCAACGGGGTTCGACTCCCGCATCCGGCAGAACCCAGGAAGACTTTATACTTAGCGCAACCCGCTCGTTAATCTGTCGCTAATATATCTCACCAAACATATAGAGCAAGCAATCGGGTGTGGTGCACGGTGCACCGCTGCACTTTGGGGTTGGATTTTGAAGTAAAAGCAGTGAGTCGGGGTTCGATTCCTCGCACCCGAATCACCACGTTTGAAGCATTCTTTTTAATGGTGAATTCAACAACTGTGATAACCGGCTAAAGAATCTATGTAAGGGATCGGGTGTAGTGCACGGCGCACCGCTGCGATCCGTACGTTGGCGTTAGAAGTGATAGCAGCTAACAGGGCTTCGACTCCTCGCACCCGAATACCTCGAACTCTCGCTTTATATACCGAGAGTCAATTTAGTTCCGAATAAATTTCAACAAAGATATAGAGCAAGGAATCGGTGTGGTGTACGGCGCACTGCTGCAATGTGCTGAGACAATCGGGGGCAGTCAGACGGGGTTCGACTCCTCGCACTCGAATTTCCCGTTCTTCGGGCCATTCTTTTTAATGGCAGGTTCAACCACTCCGAGACCTGCTCAAAGGTCGGGTGTGGTGCACGGCACACAACTGCTCTGCTTGGGTGTCTTCAAATGATAGAGGCAGTCAGCTGGGGTTCGACTCCCCGCATCCGAATATATTTGAACCAAGGAAAATTTTTATACCCAGAGTCCCGCCCGTTAATTTATTCCTGATAAATAATAACAAGCATATAGAAGAAGCAATCGGGTGTGGTGCATGGTGCACCGCTGGAATATCTTCAACAGGTATTTTGAAATCAAAACAGCGAGCCGGGGTTCGATTCCCCGCACCCGACTGTGCACTCATGCCTATAGAATTCTTTTTTGTCTGGCCCGGGCCGCTTGAGGACGGGAAGAAAGGAAGTATTTGTTAGACGATATTTATTGCTTGGATACTCCTCTCGCGCAGGCATTGCATTGGGCCGGCCGTGACGTCCGAACACAGCCACAGACCGCTACCTGCCAGACAGCGCGCGCAATTGACCAGTCATTTTCCGTTGCAGGACCTTCCCACTCAACCGTGACCGGAAGCGACATTTTGATTTATTATAATTCACTTCAGCTGCGAGAGACGGAACTCGATTTCAATGGAGGCTCAATAATTGATTGGAAGATTTTTGTTTTAGGGAACAGATTCCGTCTGCCCAACGAGTTTGATTCGCACCTGGAAGCGCTATTCACGATCCCCCTATCCGTGCAGTGACCATGAGCCTCTGTTGTTGATTTTAGAATTTTGACATATCAGCAGATTCTGCCAAAATACACACGGTCCCGAAACCGCCTTCGTTGCTGCAGCCTGCAGACCTCGGAACTGTGACCAAGGGCACGGTCCACCGGATCGAGGTCCGAACTCCAACGTTGGTCGGTCAAATTGACTTCGACTCTGGACAGTCAACGCTAGTCAGCCCGAGACTTCAAGTACCCCGGGCTATCCACATCGCCAACACACGCACCGCTCGTCATCGCTGTCAGCCCGCCCGCCATAGTCATCCAAAACCTGCTGACGCAAACCATCTTACGTGGCGGCTCGTGCACCCAAAGAAATTCCACGCCGCTGATCTTCCCACTTGAACGTTTCCACCTCAACACACTTTTTTTTTGCTCTCGCTCATGCTTACCTCGCTTCGTGAGGTTGAAGGTCGGGAAAAGACAGTCCATTAACAAGTGCGTAAGTATCATAAATCACATGTGTGCGTGTCTATTTTCCCCTCCCTTCCCGCCTCCCTCCGCACACCCTCCTGCCTCCTGCCTCTCCCAAGACGAGTTCAGAACACAAAGTCACAACATTCCCTCCCAGCATTCGGAACCCAGGGAACTTTTTATACTCAGAAACCTGCCCGTTAATTTAGTCCCTAATAAATTACACCAGGTATGTAGAGCAAGTAATCGGGTGTGGTGTATGGTGCAGTGAGACGGGGTTTGACTCCCCACCCGGATATTTTGGAGAAAAGCAACCTTTTTACACTGAGACTAAATTGCCCGTTAATCATAGTTGCTGATGAATTTCACCAAGCATAAAAAGAAAGCAATCGGGTGTGGTACACGGTGCACAACTGCTATCCTTAATCAACTTCAATCGAATCGAGGCAGTCAGACGGGGTTCGACTCCCCGCACCCGAATTTGTGCGAGCTAAGACAACTTTTTATACTCATAATATTCCGCGCGTTAATTCCGTCCCTAACTTTCACCAAAAATATAGAGAAAGCAACCGGGTGTGGTGCACGGCGCACCGCTGTAATCTGTGCAGTGGTGCTCAGTCAGAAGTGAAAGCAGCGAGCCCGGGTTCAACTCCCCCCACTCGAATGGTTGTAAACCCAGAAATCTTTTTATACTCAGTGTAGCCCGGCCGTTAATTTAGTCCATAATATATTACACCAGGAATATAGAGCAAGGAATCGGGTGTGGTGCCCGGCGCACAACTGCTCTCCTTTAACTGATTCAACAAGTTAGAGGCAGCCAGCCGGGGTTCGATTCCGTGTACCCAGTCTTGGACCATTTTTTATGGTGAATTCAACCACTCGGAGAACTTGTTAAGGGGAGCGTAGAAACTAGGCGGAGAATCAGGTGTGGCGTATGGTGCACCGCTGCAATCTAGGCTGTGCATCCAGTTCATACTCGAAGTAAAGACAGCAAGACGGGGTTTGACTACTTGCACCCAGATGGGAATACGATGAGCTTTTTATTCAGACTGAATTTAGTCGCCAATAAGCTCCACCAAAGGGAATCGGGTGGGGTATATCGCGCACAACTGCTGTCCTTTCATCGTTACGCGAGTGCCTAGAGACAGTTAGACGGGGTTTGATTCCTCGCAGCCGAATCGCTGACTGCCTCGTGAATTTAGTCGCCAATAAATTACACCAGAGATATAGAGAAAAGAATCGTGTGTGATGTATGGCGCACAACTGCTGTCCTTGATGGTACTTATGTAGACAGCTAGAGGCAGTCAGACGGGGTTCGATTCCCCGCACCCGAATGGCGAGAGTATGGTCGATTATTATTTCTTTTTTCCAGCCCGCCTCAGTGCCGCAGACGATTGTTGCGTTCAAGGTTGCAAACAGACAGCAGGGCTAGTGCTAATCCTTGACGAAGAGTCTCTGCTGTTTGACTTTGATTCTTGCTTTGATTTTAAATGTTTGACATGTCAGTAGATTCTGCCAGAGCAAAGAGTTGAATACCACATTTTAAACGGTGCCGAAATCGCCTTCGTTGCTCAAGTTGTTGCGGATCTCGCAATTGTGCGGTGCACTCAACGGCTATCTGATAATGCTCTGGAGTCCGCCAGACACCACCATTGCACTGTCCAAATCGCAGCTCCACCCCTAAGTTTAAGGCCCATCCACGACCCTCGACCATGACAAGACCATCCTTACATTGATGCTCACGTCCAAGACTTCTCGCATGGCGGCGCGACTGTGACACTCTGGGACACATAGCAAGATTGCACAAGTTAAGGTGTTCAAGATGAACGGCAAGGCCTGCCTCTATTGTTCTGACTGGCTGTGACACTCAACTATCCCACTCCTGTGGTATTGACGCGTTAGATAGGTCATCAAAATGAGCTCTCAGAATCGAGGTATCCATGGCTTTTGAAAGTGATACTTCTGACAATATTCCGTTCGATGCATACTTTGGCGGAAGGTATTTCTGATATCCTATCCGAAGCCTTATCTACTAGTGCGTCGGCTCAGTACTGGGCTGATTGATTCCTACTGACCAACCCAGGAACATATCTTCTCCTGCTATGTTCGTGTTGGCACATTGCTTTGGTAAGCTTTAGCACATTGTCAATCCAAATTGTCCTCGTACTGATCCCCATCGCAAAGTGTCTGAAATCTCAACCACAAGATTGACCTTTCGTCATGGAACGCTTTCCCTAGATGTTCTTTTAACTTCCCGCAAGTTCTCATTTCGCAGATTGTAAGGCAATTAATCCGATGATTCCATTGTCATCCAGTTGTTACAGCTGTTTGCAAAGCTAACATCAGGAAAAAACCTCCTTCACTAATTTAGGACTAATTTTCTTCCCGACTTTACATTAGGGTAATCCGGGGTAAAATCACTGAATTAGCCAGCCTAGCCAGTTTTCCAAAGTTACCTGGTTGTGAATTTTGTTTCTGAGCCAGGAAGAGAGGGAATTCATACCCCATAATAGATGGGTACATCATTTGGCAATATCCCTGCACAGGGCAGGCATTGGGCACAGAAAGAAATTCAACATCTGCTCATTTACTACAAGTCCATTGCCGAGACACCGGCCCTGATGTGTCGAACCCACGCACGGACCGCAGTGTAACGCACACGTGCCATCAAAAAAGTGGTTGGTGTCTGGATTTGGAGAGGCACACAACACTCGTCAACAACTCTTCTCTTTTCCCCCCACCTTCGTCCCTCCCACTCTTCCATTCACTGGACCCTGCTCATCCCCGGTCCTCACCATGCACAACCTCGATGAAGAACCATTGTACATTTGACTCTGGCTCCGTTAGCTGCCTATGGTGCGAGCTTTTTTCACTGTCTTGCACGATGTTTTGGCTGAACAACATGCAGCCTGCTCTGGTTCAGCCCTGTAGGTGCAGGTATGTGCTCATGTATCTCTTCCACTCAATCTGACCAATGATTCCAGACCCTAGGAACTCAGTCCTATGTAATCCGAGGTATTCAAAGAGGAGCCGTCGTTGTTTGCTTGTGTAAAGGTATGTCTTCTTGTGCCGCCGTTGCGGATTTTCGCTTACGAGGCCTTCACATGCACAGCTCTTTTTGATCCTCGCTGACGAGCCCTTCACATACACATCCCATCGCTCATGTTTTGTAGCCACCCAGTTGCCTCCAGTGTGTCATATCCCCCACCGCTGTTGCATGCATGCTCACATCCTTCTGTAGACGTCGTAGAATGGCATTTCGCCTCGGCCCGCCGCGCATCTGCGTGCGCATTCCCTAATGCTGTAAAAGATGATGCAACTTGGCATTCCTTGCCGCCCACGCCCTAACATCGCCGTTCGGATCGCCACTAGAGGGACGTGACGGAGGTGTGTACATAACTATTCTCCTTTTCCATCTACTCAGGTAACCATTTTTAGTATGTATAAGTCCCCTCCTGCACACATCAACCAAACTCATTACCGTTGGCCGCACGCGCGCATAAAGTACAAGAAACTTGTAGGTGCGCCCCGCATCACCATCATCTTGTTGTCCCCCCTCTTTTTTCTTCCCTTGCTCGCTTCGCATTCCCGCAACGGGGCACGCGAGAGTCGAGACACGCGAGATTTGCAGCTGGCGTCTGTGCACTCCATCGTACCCACAGGTTCGACTATGCTCGTGCTGCGAGCGTGCCTTGTGCGGTACTGTTGAGCATGCCCACGCGTAACGGTCTATTCAGTAGTTGGATCACGCGACGGTTGTGCTTCACGGCTTGTCTTTTGAGGCTGAACCCTGGATAGCATTATGTATAGCTACTCAGCTAGTGTACAATGTGTCACTGTTGTCGTAGTTTTTGAATATGATTCATTTGTCCACATTCCCGCCCGATTATAAGCAACCAATCTAGAAGCGAGCCGACGATATTACTCGCAAACCTGGCTAATTAAGGTCTAATTTTCCCCTAAATTATTTCCAACGTCACTAGAAAGCTAACTCAACTAACCCAACTTATCTAGCTAGATTAGTGTGAACTTGGGGTAATCTGACCTTATTAGCAAAGGAGGTGTACCCTGATGAATGGCACCAACGATCATTTTATAAATAAGAGCAAATTAAATACTTCCACTTTTGAAACACTCACTGTAAGTAATTAATTATGTTTGACGTACGGGAGCTGCAGCGACGGCGAGCAGGAGGAGAAGGAGGTGGGAAGATTCTGGTGACCATTGGATTATAATGGACCGGCTACTGTCGAGAGACACCTAACCACGTATGATTGGGTGGTGGGGCGGAGTGACAGAGTGCTTATCAGCATCTCTGAATACACTCTGTACGAATCGGGAATTCCGCCACCAATCCATCTTTTTTCCGCACCGGAGGGCAGTTATCAGTTGGCGGCACAACGAAGGAATACCGACAAGGTCTGCTGATCTGTGCATAGCGTCGTTCGCCAAGTTGTATGCTATGATCATCATGGTCCTACTCGTATCCGCAAGATCCGAGGATCGCGTTCCGAGCTTGTTTTTAGAATGCGGCGTTTGTCCGTATCTCGACTGAATCCTGACCATATAAACTCCCACGGCTGTTTTTGAACTGAAGGGCGATGCCTTTCCAGGGAGGTGACATGCCGGTAGATTTTCTCTGTCAGATTTCTATGAACCGAATGGAGGAACTCACTTGACGGAGATTAGGCTCGATTCATGTATGCGATGAAGTCGACTGTTCATGACCCCCTTTTCAACGGCGCTCATTCCATTTTTTCCAGATAAGAGAGGAATTCAAATGAGCGACCAACACAGATGCCTGCAGTATCATAATACATATGTGAACCGTCTCGAATACATGACCCTTTACGCCACAACCATCCCAACTAATACATAGCTACCACTGGACCCTTCGCTCCTTCTCCGTTGTCCTCTCCGCGCCGATGTAAAGCATATTACAGCACCACTACACTTTGCCAAGTTTGCAGCCAGTCTTTAGGTACTACTTTGTATACCACACAACAAACATTGCCTTTCGCCAATGTTCAAAGTAGTTGGTGTTGGTGCTGGCGTGACCTCTGCAGGAGCGACGGCAACCGCGGTGCCTTCACCGTCAGCTACGATATCGTACGGCAACCCAAGTATGGGGTTATAGTCGGCCTGTGTGTCAGAGATAACAGTGAGAAGTAAGGACGATGTCTGAATAGGTATTGTGTTTGACGTACGGGACTCGCAGCTGCAGCGACGGCGAGCAGGACGAGAAGGAGAGGTTGGAAGATTCCGGTGAGCATTGGGTTAAAAGGGACCGGCTGCTACAACAAAGCGAAGTATGAGCTCAATTTTTTGTTGTACCGTCTGTTTATAAGAGACTAGACCGGTTGCTGTCGAGACGCCTAAGCACGTATGATAGGGTGGTAGGGTGGGGTCGCAAAGTTGCTTACTTATATGCATCTTTGCATACACTCTGTACGAATTGGGACTTCCGCATCAATCCACGCGGAGTGCCGTTGGCAGGTGGCGGCTTAACGACTGAAGACCGACAAGCTCCGCTGATCTGGTCATGGCTGCTCGTCCCACGGGAAGCCTTCCCTGTCCAAGTTACTACTATGATGGTCCGACTCGTATCCGCAAGATCAGCGTAGGACTTACGAGTACCCGTGTAAACAACCGAGTACGGGGCTACTTGTTTTTGGAATGTGGCGATCAATATAAACTAAAAAATTTCGACTATCTTAATTTTAGTTTCTTTGAGTCTGACTGTGGGAGAATACAGTCGGTGACGGAGTCACGGCCATGAGAAATAGAAATAGAAATCTCGGTGGGAAGTTTTCAAAGATCTCGCTATCGGAAACTTTACATTGCGGCTGGGTGACCGGGCAGCCAAGTTACTGCTACTTATTCAATTTGTTGTGTAGCCAGCAGAGCAAATTGGGGATGGGAAGGACGAACTCCCACTACCGTGCTTCGAAGATCGGGTCGTTGCTTCCCAGGTAGTCAGTTCAAGTCAGCGAAGCGAGGTTTGAGCGATTTGGAGGCATAATAAAAGAAATCTTTCCGTTCGTGTAACGCCGCCACAGACAAGCGCAGGGATCGCATACGGTACATACCCCACCCGACGGCGCCGTAGGGATACACCCAACGTCCAAAGAAAGGACGGATCCGGCACGCGCTTATTGGGGGCCTAACCCGCCTTTTGTGAAAGAGGGGAGATGGAAGAGAAGGAGCTCGAGGAAAAGAGACATGCACATGCGTGCAGCTAGTCCCTAATAACTTTCACCAAAGATATAGGGAAAGCACTCGGGTGTGGTGCACGGTGCACCGCTGCAATCTGTGCGATGGCGAATTTGCGAATTTCAAAGTGAAAGCAGCAGGCCGGGGTTCGACTCCCCGCACCCGAATGCGTCGGAGTAGAGGAACCTTTTTATACACAGAGTAACCTGCGAGTCCATTTACTCGCTAATAAATTGCACGAGGGATATAGAACTAGGAATCGGGTATGGTGTATGGCGCACAGCTGCAATCTGTGTCAGATTTGATGGATTTGAGGCAGTCAGACGGGATTCGATTCCCCGCACCCGAATGCGTTTGAACGATTGACAACCTTTTTCATACTCAGAGGAACCCAGCCGTTAATTTGTCCCCAATAACTTCCACCAAAGATATTGAGAAAGCAATCCAGTGTAGTGCACGGTGCACCGCTGCAATCCGTGTGATGATGATTGGGTTCGACTCCCCGCACCCGAATGCGTCAGCGTAGAGGAACCTTTTTATACTCAGAGTGAGTACATTTACTCGCTAATAAATTGCACGAGGTATAGAACTAGGAATCGGGTGTGGTGTATGGCGCACAACCGCTGTCCTTTCGTGCTTGTGAAGGGAATTAGAGGCAGTCAGACGGGGTTCGATTCCCCGCACCCGAATGCATCTGAACGATCAACAACCTTTTTCACACTCAGAGGAACCCAGCCCGTTAATTTGTCCCTAATAACTCTCACCACAGATACAGAGCAGGGAATCGGGTGTGGTGCACGGTGCACCGCTGCAATCCGTGGATAATGATTGGGTTTGAATCAGCAGCGAGCCGGGGTTCGACTCCCCGCACCCGAATGCGTCATAGTAGGAGGAACCTTTTTCATACTCAGTGTAACCCGCTCGTTAAATTTGTCCCTAAGAGCTTTCACCACAGATACAGAGCAGGGAATCGAGTGTGGTGCACGGTGCACGCTGCAATCTGTGGGATGGCGAATTTGCGAATTTCAAAATGAAAGCAGCAGGCCGGGGTTCGACTCCCCGCACCCGAATGTGTCTGAACGATTAACAACCTTTTTCATACTCAGAGGAACCCAGCCGTTAATTTGTCCCTAATATAATAATGTTCACCAAAGATATTGAGAAAGCAATCGGGTGTGGTGCACGGTGCACTGCTGCAATCTGTGCGATGGCGAATTTGCGAATTTCAAAGTGAAAGCAGCAGGCCGGGGTTCGACTCCCCGTACCCGAATGCGTCGGAGTAGAGGAACCTTTTTATACATTTTTATACACAGAGTAGTCCCTTTACTCGCTAATTAATTGCACGACGGATATAGAACCAGGAATCGGGTATGGTCTATGGCGCACAACTGCTGTCCTTTCGTAGTTTCTGCGCGGTTTAGAGGCAGTCAGACGGGGTTCGATTCCCCGCACCCGAATGGAGAGTGTGATCAATTATCATTCCTTTTTGTGTGCCCGCTTGGGTGACCCGGACTATTGTTGCGTTCAAGGTTGCAAACAGATAGCAGGCAAGTGCTAACCCTTGACGAAGAGGCTCTACTGTTTTTTTATTTTTATTTTTATTTTTATTTTATTTATTTATTTATTTTTTTCAAAGTTTGAAATGTCAGTAGATTCTGCCAGATTAAAGAATACACACAATATCAACGGCGCCGCAACCGGCTTCGTTGCTGCAACCTCGGAACTCCGGAGAGATCAAACGGGAGTCTTCAGCACAAAGCTCACCGTCCATCGGGCCGACGTCCGAATTCAACGCTTTCAACCAGATCGAGTCAGTCAAATTGACTTTCTTGCACAGTCAGCGCTAGTCAGCCCGCGACCTCAAGTACCCCGGGCCATCCACATCGACCGCACGCCGCTCGTCATCGCAGTCAGCCCGTACGCCATAGTCATCCAAAACGTGCTGACGCAACTCATCTTACGTGACGCCTCGTGCACCCGAAAAGTCCCACGCCGTCGATCTTCTCTCTTCCCGTTTCAACTACTCAACGCACACAGTCTCCACACTGTGCTGGCACTCCAACGAGCACGGAGCGCCCGTGCCTGCAACGAACGGGCTATACTTGGCAGCTGCAATGCTGGGCCTTGCTGGCGGCTGAGTCACCCTCGTCAGCGCGTTTACGCGTGTCCAGGGATGCATTGGCAAGCAAGCCACCCCCAAGTCCGTATGGACGCGGCGTCTCACGGACGGGGTATATAGCGCCCTCCATCGAATCCACGCTGTTCTCCGTCCAATCGCCTCTCGTTCCCATCACCGTCTCGCAAGAGCAAAACTTGAAGATGTGCTTCCCCACCAAGAAACAAAAGGCCAACTTCGACGCGGACGAGAAGCCCAAGGCTGCCGCGAAATCCACACCATCCACGACGGCAAAGGGCAGTCCCGCGGCGACGCTGGTGTCCACCGCGGGCGCGGGGAAGGGTCCTAAGATCGCCATTGTCATATATACGATGTACGGGCATATCACGAAGAGTGCGTCTTTTGTATGCGTTTTATTGGGTGTCGAACTAATGTGTGGCGTTGGCAGTGGCGGAGAGCGTAAAGGCTGGAATTGAAGAGGCGGGTGGGAGTGCGACTGTGTATCAGTGCGTCCTTCTTTCCTGCCATCCCTGTTCGTTCAATTGCGGTGCTAACGCCCCGCACAGAGTCCCGGAAACCCTCTCCGCGGAAGTCCTCGCCAAGATGTACGCCCCCGCCAAGCCCGCATACCCGATCATCACGCCCGACGAGCTCGCGAAATACGACGCATTCATCATGGGCGTGCCGACGCGGTTCGGCAACTTCCCCGCGCAGTGGAAGGTGCGCAAGCGTTTCCTTCCCTCTTGCCTCTTCCCCAAACTCCCGCCTCTGTATCTTCCCCGAACTCTCCCGCCTCTCGTTCTCGTTCGGCCTTGTCCTTGCTTCTGCCTCGTTCTCGTTCTCCATCCCTCCATTTCCCTCTCCCTCCCCATTCCACTCTATACATAATAACTAATTAAATCCACACACAGGCCTTCTGGGACTCCACCTCCTCCCTCTGGTCCACCGGCGCCCTCGCCGGCAAATACGCCGGCGCCTTCACCTCGACCGCGGGGCCCGGGGGCGGACAGGAAGTGACGATTTTGAACACGATCAGCACCCTAACACACCACGGCGTCCTCTACGTCCCGCTCGGGTACGCGCACGCGTTCAAGCAGCTCACGGGGCTGGAGGAGGTGCACGGCGGGTCGCCGTGGGGGGCGGGCACCTTCGCCGCCGCGGACGGTTCGCGCCAGCCGACGGCGCTCGAGCTGGAGGTGGCGCGGATACAGGGGAAGGCGTTTTATGGGGTTGTTAACCGGGTCAAGTTCTGAGCGGGGGTACTTTGTATCTGAGTGTTCTTTTGTGTTCTGAGTTGGAGGCGGGAGGCGGGAGGAGAGAGGAAGGGGAGGGGAAAATAGATACGCTCCAGACGAGGAGGGTTATGATTTACGATATTTACGCACTTGTTAATGGACTTCCTTTCTCTCTCAGAGTCACGACGCGAGCAAAAGAAAAACATAGAGAGTATGTGGGAATTTCGGGTGCGGGGAGTCGAACCCCGTCTGACTGCCTCTAATTGATTTGAAGCAATACAAAGATAGCAGTTGTGCGCCGTACACCACACCCGATTCCTTCCTCCATATGCTTCGTGCGATTTGTTAACAACGAAATTAACGCGCGGGGTACTCTGGATTTAAAAAAATCTTTATTCGGGTGCGGGGAGTCGAACCCCGTCGACTGCCTCTAATACCCTCGAATCTACCTAAGGACAGCAGTTGTGCGCCGTGCACCACACCCGACTCTTTCCTCCATATGTTTCGTGTGATTTATTAACAACGAAATTAACGCGCGGGGTACTCTGGATTTTTTTTAAAAATTATTCGGGTGCGGGGAGTTGAACCCCGTCTAATTGCCTCTGACCCATGCAAACCTCCCAAGGACAGCAGTTGTGCACCGTGCACCACACCCGATTATGTGTTCTATAGACTTGGTGGAATTTATGAGCGACGAAACTGAAGGGCGGGTCGGCCTGAGTACAAAAAAGCTATTCGCTATTTTGGAATTCGGGTGCGGGGAGTCGAACCCCGTCTGACTGCCTCTATTTGTGCAAAAACCGTCCAAGGACAGCAGTTGTGCGCCGTGCACTACACCCGATTCTTTGCTCTATATAGCTGGCGTAATTTATGAGCGACGAAATTACCTCGCGGGGTACTCAAACTATAAAAAATGGTCTTCGCTCCGCACATTCGGGTGCGGGGAGTCGAACCCCGTCTAACCGCCAGTAATCTCTTGTGAAACCGTGCAAGGACAGCGGTTGTGCGCCCTATACTACACCCGATTCCTTGCCTAGATTTATGCACCCATAATCGAGGAATTCAGGTTCTCACAGTCTTTGAATTCGGGATCCAAAAGGAAGGTTCGAAGACCGAGCGATTCGGGTGCAGGTTTTAACGGACTTTGTTTCACCTCATGAGGCCAGTATGAGCGTCGAGCGGGGGAGAAGAAGAAAAAGAAAGAAAAAGGCATCTACATTTGGGGAATTTCGGGTGCGAGGAAGCGAACCCCGGCTGGCTGCTTTGACGTAATCCGCACAATGCAGCGGTGCGCCACACACTACACCCGAATTATCTGTCTGAATCTCACCACTACTAGGTACAAACGATTCGGGCGCCCGCAGAGGCTAGGGAGCGTCTGCGGCCGTGACTTGGGACACTCGGCCACTTATTCCAAGTGCAATTCGAATTATACATCTCAAGGTGAGAGAAGTCGAGACTGTTGTGAGACAGAAAGAAATATTTAATATCTGGCGAATTCCCCATTCAGGGGGGAGTTTAACCCTGCCTGGCGGCAGTAACTCTGTACCAGATTGATATTTGCAGCTATGTGCCGCTCACCAAACCCGATGCCCTGGCTACTATGCTGAACTCAACCGGCCCACTAACGCATCGACGAGCTTGCCAAAAAAAAGTGATCACTTTTCCAGAACCATTCGGCTGCGGGGACTCGAACCCCGTCCGGCTGGCCAGAACATGGAACACTCCATTTACAAGATCCAGCAGTGCGCTGTACACCATACCCGATTAAGTGCCCAGCTCCCTTCTTCGTTGAATGCCATACTCTTGTTTCGCAGGCCGCACTTGAATGGAAAGGAAACCACCAGAACTGGCCATTCGGAGTCTTACTGTCAGTGTCTGGTTGATCCCCTGGCATAGACGGGTCGCAGTTTGAATCACGATCTATATGTTGAGCTTCTGGAGACCAGGAACAGTCCGGTTCAACTTCTGGCCGTGTTCAAATATTACTGGCGAACAATCTATGCATGGCAGTTCACTAGGCATCCAGCTGTTCACGGAATGCGAGTAGTACGACGATACATCCAATCCAGCGGCACCTGAACCAGCGGGTCGGAGTCCCTGATGTCACAAAATTCGTTGAGAGCGCATTGCCGTGTCTCCCTGTGAATAGACTCAACCTCCGGCCTGAATTGTACCCATCTGAGGATAATTGGGGGAAGCATCGCGGAATAACATCGTTCGCAGTCCCCCTCCTACGGTAGCGGCTCTATAACCATGAAGCCGATGTTATCGTGCGTGTCGATAGGGCAGCTTCGAACATAGGCATAGAGGAGTTCGAGATGTTGTCTGACCTCTTCCTTGGTCCTTAGGAAGACGGAATACCGGTTCGCTTCGTAAGGAATATCAGGAAGTTGCGTGATGGGGACAGGGTCATCCCGGAAAGGGGCTGCTCAAGGATGATACTGATTAAGGAGATAGTGAAGGCGGATTGGAAGTGCTCACCGATTGATTCGGTCGGGTGATTGAAGTGTGAAGTCCGACCG